CTTGGACTGTGTTCCTGTCGTCTAAATAAACCTTCTGCTTTACTGGCTGGCTGAGAGTCATGGTGAATCGCAGGAAGCCGGGGGTGCAGGGCCTTGTCTTCCCCACCCACTCCGTGACAGCGTGTGTATGTGTGTGCATGGGGGTGTGCGTGGGGGTGTGCGTGGGGAGTGCGTGTGTATGGGTGTGCGTGGGGAGTGCGTGTGTATGGGTGTGCGTGGGGGTGGAGGTGTGTGTGTGGGGCGGGGTGTGTATGTGTGTGTGGGGTGGGATTGTGTGTGTGTGGGGAGGGTGCATGGGTATGGGGGTGCATGTATATGTATGGTGGGGGGGTGCGTATGTATGGTGGGGGTGCGTGTGTGTGTGTGCGGGCAGGGAGGGGCTGTGGGTGCGTGTATGTGTGTGGGGGGGGCATGTGTGGGTATGTGTGCGGGGGGCGGGGCTGTGGGGGGGTGTTCCATGTCACGGCGCGGCTCTGTCTCCCTCTAGGGCTGTGTCCCAGGTGAGGTTTCCGCGTCCCCTCTGCGGTCCCGGACTGGGGCCATTAGCTCAGACAAAGAGGGTCCAGTGTTGAGGCCCCAAGTGGACGCCCCACCCGGGCACCGCTCCACGTGCCTCGGACAAACGGCCCGAGACGCAGCTCTGCGTTTCCCAGCGACCTCAACTTCTGCAGCCGCCACGTCCGGCGCCAGCACTAGGGGCCGCGGGCCAACGGGCCTGGGATTCTGGGTGCCCAGGGCACCATTCTCCGTGCTCGGCAATTTCTGCCAATCATCCCCCTCAAGAGGCCCAAACCACCGAGGAGCAGTGGTCTCACGTTGCAGTGGGGGAGGTTTAGGTTGGATATTAGAAAAAAAATGTTCACTAGGAGGGTGGTGAAGCACTGGAATGGGTTCCCTAGGGAGGTGGTGGAGTCTCCTTCCTTAAAGGTTTTTAAGGTCAGGCTTGACAGAGCCCTGTCTGGGATGATTTAGTTGGGGTTGGTCCTGCTTTGAGCAGGGGGTTGGACTAGATACCCCCTGAGGTCCCTTCCCACCCGGATATTCTGTGGCTCTATGATTTCGTGGCAGGCTCGGGTCCCACCCTGCTGCCCTGTGCACCAACTTCCTTTAATCCCATTGGTCATTTCCCCCTGCCGCAGCACCTGCAATGGAGGGACACCGAGCGGCCCCCGCTGGGGAGCTGGCCCCGCAGACAGCCGCGTGCTGGCAGGGCCCGTGGAGCTGGGGGTCTGGCTTCGGCACGGAGCCTGGCTCGCCTGCGCTGGGGGAGCATCGGGGTCCCTTCCTGCCAGCGGAGGGCTCTGCCTTGCAACGAGACTTTGCAGAGCAGTTGAAAGGCCTCCTGGCATGGCACAGGCTCCGGCGCTGGAATGGCAGCTTGTTCCGGAGGCGCGGCCGGGGCAGCTCTTGGACAACCGAGCTCTGGAGCTCCCAGGCACACAAGGTCGAGGTGCCCGGGTGCAGCACGAGATGCTGGAGCCAGGAGCGGGCAGGGGTTGCAGTGAGACCGGGCAGCAGCAGCTCCTGGGCACGTTCCAAAGCGGAACTGTGCCGTCGGCAGAGGCGCCGGTCCTGAGAGCGCAGCAGTTCTGCCAGCGTTTCCTCTCCCACCTAGCGCTGCTGGCATGAACCCCAAAGCAGGCCCCACTTCTGGGGGGGAGCGGTTCCCGACGCTGCTGGGACCCAGCCGCACGGCCCCGGCGAGTCCCATGGAGAAGGAGCCGTGCCGGCCGGAGCCAGCTATGCGCCGGGGAGGAGGAGCGGCTGGGGGCGTTCAATACGCCCGCAAAGCAGCACTGTCCCCAGGCAGATGGACAGACCCCTTCTCAGCTGCCTGGGCTCGGCGGTGGATGTGGCACTCCCGGCTCTAGGCCGGCTCCCCTGCGGACGGGTGCCCACATCTCTGTGTCTCCACACGGGCCCTAGGCCTGCTCCTGGCTCCCACCCACTGACTCCTTGATCTCCGGGCCAGGGAACTGGGCTGGGGGTTACCCAGCGAACAGAGCGGACGAGCCAGGAGCCCATCGATCTCCAGGCACAGACAGGGCCATTATCCGTGTATTACAGACGCGGCCCTGACACACGCAGGGCACCAGACAGCCAGGAATCCAACCCAGCCCCGCCTCTGATCCTGAGGCCCCCTCTTCCGAAGCCTCCCCCCGGCCCCAGCCCCACGGGGGAGGTACCTGCCGTTCAGGTGGTCCCGACAGGACTGCACCTCGGACGCGCTGGGGTGGCCACCCTCCACCAGCTGCTGCACGGTCTCATTCACGTCCAGGATGCGCCCCATCACGCTGTTCATCTCCTGGTCCAGGCTCTCAAACCTGCCCAAGGCGCACAGGGGCTCGTGGATAGAACAGAATCGGACGGGGCATTCAGAACCCAGGCGTCCTGGCTCCCCACCCTTCCCCCCTCCTCCCAGAGCTGGGAATGGAACCCAGGCATCCTGGCTCCCAGCCCCCCTGCTCTAGCCACTAGACCCTACTCCCCTCCCAGAGTTGGGATAGAACCCAGGCGTCCTGGCTCCCACGCCCTTCCCCCCAGAGCTGGGAATGGAACCCAGGCGTCCTGGCTCCCAGCCCCCCAGAGGGGAACAGAACAGCGGGTGCCAGACCTGTGTTGCACCACTTCCACGTCCTCCAGCTCCTGTGGCACGTGCATCCCGGAGAGCCACTGCTCCTTCTCGTCCAGCCAGCCCTCGCAGGCGTGGACCTCGCCAAACATGCGGTACACGGCCAGGGCGTCCTGCAGCCACTGGTGCCGCAGCACGGCCACCTCGGCCACCTCCCCGTAGAGCTGCTCCACCTCCACGATGCGGATCTGCACGTCCACCACCTGGTGGTGCTGGGGGGCCAGCCGGGCCAGCTGGGCGCGCAGGGCCAGCACGGGCGCCCGGTGCCGCTCCAGCTCCTGCGCCACGGTGGCGTGCTTGCGGAGCAGCGCCTGGCTGGAGTACTCGTCGTGCCCGAAGTCGTCGCTGGAGGCCAGGCGGTAGGTGTCCTGCAGCCAGGCCAGCAGGTCGTCCGTCTCGGCGCTGAACTGGTAGAAGCTCAAGGCCTCCTGCAGCTTCTGCTGGTGCGTCCCCGTCACCTCCTCCAGCTTCTTCCAGCGCTGCCGCACCTCCCGCAGTTTCTCCTGCAGCCGGGCTGTGCCGGGGCCCTGGGTGGCCACCAGCTGCTCCCCCTTCTTCACGGCCTGGTGCAGCAGGGCCCGGCGCCCGCCCAGCTCCCCCAGCATCACCTTGTGCTGCCCGCTCAGCTGCAGCACGCTGCTCAGGTCCTTGCCGCACGGCTTGGAGGCCAGGATCTGCTCCTTCTCCCGCACCCAGGCCTCGGCCTCCTCCAGCTCCTGGAAGAAGGCCCACAGGTGGCGGGAGGCCTCCAGCTCCGTGCGCCGCTGGGCCGCCCGCTGGCACAGCTCCTCCAGGCACGTCTGCACGTGGGTCACACGGTTGCGGATGATCTGGGGGTCGCAGGGCTGGTAACCTGGGGCAGGGGAGCAGGAGAGACGCTGGGCCCGGCTCTTAGCCGCTGATTGCTGCTGGGGGAAAGACCTGCACTGCCAGGGTCCTGGCTCCAGCCCCCAGCTCTAATCCACCAGCCCCCACACCTCCCCCAGAGCTGGGATAGAACCCAGGAGTCCTGGCTTCCAGCCCCCCTGCTCTAACCACTAGACCCCACACCTCCCCCAGAGCTGGGATAGAACCCAGGAGTCCTGGCTCCCAGCTCCCTGCTCTAACCACTAGACCCCACACCTCCCCCTGAGCTGGGATAGAACCCAGGAGTCCTGGCTCCCAGCTGTGACGTTATTGATATAATCTGGGACCATTGTTGCAACCAAGGTCCTGTAGTGGCACCCAGATCTTGTATAAAGGGGATCAAATGGGGTGTCTAGGACAAGGTTATGGTTTACTGGTTATGATTATGCTGTCTATATGTGTGTATCAGTGAGGTAGTTGAAGTTATGAATATTGGCTCTATACTGTCTGTATGGCAAACTTATGCTGTGCTTCTGGGTGACATCCCAGACAAGCTGGGGTTAGCTCTGCCTAGCCTGCTTGATGGCCCATTAAGGACCATCAGCTATACAATGGACCCATTGAGAGAAGGCAGATACGCCTTGTACCTCAGCAAAGTATGCAGGGACTGGCCCATGTGACTCCAGACTCCATGTTGCTGTAATTTTCCACAGTAAGAACAAAGAGGTGTTCTTACACCTGGAAAAGACTATATAAGGCTGATGCCTCATCTCTATTTTGTCTTCAACCCTGCTTCTTATCTCTGGAGGGACTTTGCTACAAACTGAAGCTCTGAACAAAGGACTGAGGACCCATCCCAGCTGGGGATGTTCCAGAGATTTGATTTGAACCTGCAGTTGATTCCATCGCTGCTGCAAGCCTGAACCAAGAACTTTGCCATTACTGTATGTTATTGATTCCATATACCAATTCCTATCTCTTGTAAAAGTCGGTTTCCGTATAAAAATATACATTT